AGGGGGGAAACTGCGCGATTCGGATTAAACGCAGGAAAATATGAGCAAAGCTTCCCGGTGGTTTGTGAAAGGGGCCGAGGGAGAGCGGAGCTAAGCGCAGACACGGCTGTCGCTCCGATTATGTAAGCGCGGCGCGGCGGCCATCGCAGATGCGTATTTGTGAGTCACCGGTGGAGCTGCTGGTTTTGCCGTGTGTATCGGCGCTTTGTCTGCCCGGCCGAGCCCTCTGGGGAAAGCACATGAAAAGACTTTCCTTCATGTCTCCTCTCAGAGGGCAGCTCCCTGCCTCTCCTGCCCAGGTGGGTTGTAGTCGGATGTTTTCTCAGCCTGTTTCCCCTCACATTTGGGGGGACCGGTTGCCGACCGGCTCTTGGTAGCTCAGAGGGGCTCCGGCCTGCCTGTGCAGCAGATGGAGGAACTGCTGAAAAAGAAGACACCCTTCTGGAGAAAAAAGCGGCGTTCTTCTTCTTTTTTACAGTTTCAACACAGTGAAGCGCTTGTGAGTTTCCCTGAAATCCGGGAACAAAGCCCATCTTTGATGTGTCTCCAGCCAGCATATGCTTTGGAGATCAAACGGCACATGCTGCATTTTACAGGCCCTAATGTCTCACTCGGCTTTAATCTCGGATCTCTTTTTCTTTTTTCCTGCACTATTGCTCCTCTTTAAGTGTCTAAAAACAAGAGTTTATGCAGTCAAACAGCTGACGTATGTCTGGAAGGACAAAGTTATTGAATGATTTACAGATCAGGGTTTATTTGAAAAAAGGACTGGCTGCTGGGAATGAATGTAGATTCCATCTAGATATTTCCGCTGATAAAGACCTGACGGGTTATTTGGTGTTTTAACTGCATGCTCAGGGTTTAACGCAGACTCCTGTTCTCAGGCAGGAGCGCCGCCCCCAGGGTCCTGGAGCGCTACCGGGCCCGGACCCAGGAGCAGACGGCCCTGAACCGGGGCCTCAGCCGCTCCATGGGCTCCCTGCCCATCCAGGACCTGCTGAGGGGGGACGAGGGCGCCGGGCCGCAGTACCCCCCCTCCGACTATCACGCCAACTCCGAGTCCCCGTCGGAACTCTACCCCAAGCCCCCCTCACTGCAGTACCAGAGCTCTTACCCCTACCTGCACCCCTTCCACCCGCAGCAGAAGGGCCGGCCGGTGGAGCTGGACCGCCGCTCTCTGGCCTTCTACGGCTCAGAGGCGGCCCCGGTCCAGGCCTCCAGGAAGACCTGGGCCTCCTCGGTGGACCTGGCCTGCATCGACCCGGAGGCGCTCCGCTTCGGGGCTCTGGAGGACGCCCGGAGGGGCAGCAGCGCCCTGAGCACGCACTCGGTGGGCCGGCTCAAAGCGCCCCTGCTGGCCTCCCGGGAGAGGGACTCTCTGTACTCAGAGTTCGGGGGGCTGAGGAACCGGAAGCAGTACCACGTCTCGGCCCTGTCCGTGGGCTCGGGTCTGAGCGGGGCCTACGACAAGATAAAGGAAAGGCAGCGGAAACTGCAGGTGTTCCGAAAAGCCGGGGACGGTGAGCGAGCCTTTTATTTTTCCCGTTTAACGCTGTTGAGCTTGATGTAACTCATGTTTTTAGTGGTGCTGGAAACGGGGATAAAACCACAACCGTGACCAGTTTCCAGCCCTAACCCGAACCTGTTCAGGCGGACTCAGGCCGTCTCCCCCCAAGCCCCTCCCCCCCCCCCCTCGAACACACAGTGACACATCAGAACTCGGTCACATGCCAGCGTTGCGTAATCTGCGTTGTCACGACATGCAGAATTAGGGCTGCGGTGTATTAAGACATGAAAGAATGCATTATTAGTGGGGGGGAAAAAAAAGAAAAAAGAATGTATTATGAGTGGATGGAAAGGCTCGGCAAATCCTCTCTGTGACTTCATGGCCCAGCTTTGGCTCTGCAGTGAGGGGAGTAAATCAAGCCGGACTTATCTGAGCAGGCACCGTACATCCACCCCCCCCCCCCCCCCCCCCCCGCCCCAAGGTCACATCTTCTTGAAGCAAGTGGGTGCCACGGCCAAAGAACTGGTTATTGCATCAGGTTCCTCGCAGACCTCACCGCATTTATTAGAACCCATCAGGTCCAGAAATGTTTTTTTTCTCTTTTGCTGAGAACACTGGTCCTTTTCATTCTGGGGTCGAAGCATGTTGATTTCTTCCCAAACAAAAAAAAACAAAAAAAAAACATCCAGAATTCTGATCGCTCTGACCAAAATACACAATTCAAAACCTCAGAGCCCAGAAATGTGGAGCAGCCTCTGGACGGCCGTTGCGTTTGGTTTCCGCTTCCCCACAGAGAGGCTTTATGTGGGAATTGTTGTGCTTGACAAAGGTTTCTGTATCAGCTGTTGGCGTTTGATTGAGGCCTCCGCGCACTGAAATCCCTCCAGAAAAATGTCCTGAACTGGTTGTGTAAGAAAAAAACGTCTGCATGTGATTTTTATTTATATTTTTTTTGCGGCGCAAAGCTCGGTCGTCTTTTCTTTTTTTTCTTTCCTTTTTTCCACCACCCGTCTCCCATCTCCACCCAGCTTTCTCTGGTTTGGGGTTGTAACGCAGACTCTGGGGTGATGCTGCCTCGGGAGAGAAAGTCTTTTCATGATCACATGCTCAGTCAGAGCGCACACAGCAGTCAGGCCCCAGAGCTTTATGTTTTCCCCCACGAGCTTATGGCATTCTCAGTAAAGTCTCCGCGGACGAGCCGGTTTTATACAACGCTCACATGTGGCTCCATGGGTTTCCAGGCCACCTGGGATGGTGCAGGGGCTCGAAGGCTCGGCTGGCTTCGTATAATAAAGCTCTGTCTTCTACCTTTTCCTCCCCTTTCCCCCGTCTCGGTGCTGCTCTGGACTCCCCCCGATCGCAGCCTGGCTGCCTCTCTGGCAGCTATTTTTAATACAGCCTGAACCACCAACCAGGCATTCTTTTCCTCGTCTGTGGTTTCTCATCCCAGCGAAGCCAGCTTGTCTTTCCTTCCCCTCTGCATTTTATCGACTGTAATTGGAGGTTTTTTGATTTCGCAGAACAGTATGAAGGAGGGGAGGGGTTCCTGCTGGCCCCGCCCATCCCTTTCTGCGTACGGACCTCTCTGAAAACTAGATTTTTGCCGTGATGCTTCCAGGCCGGGGCCCGACCTCCTCGGAACCGGTTTGCTTTTAATGGGCTCGGTAATGTCTTTTCCATCTTTAGGAGGGAGGCTTAAAATCCATGTTTCCAGCAGACGCTTTTCAACAGGATTTGTCTCATAAGCACCGTTTACAAAGCCCGTCCCAAATGGCATCCATAAACACTATATCAGAGGATTTGGGAACGCCAGCGGACTTGATTAAAACATTAAAGGAGGTCGTTTACCGATGCAGAGGCTGGAAAACGTTCAACAGCTGGAACATGAGGAGTTATGGCCTCATTGGATTAGCAGCAGTTCAGGGTGAGAGGAGCTGATTTAAGCTGTCAGGCTTAGGTTGTTTGTGGTTAGGTTCAAGCCGCAAAGTGAATTAAATGAATTAACATTTAAAAAACAGGATATTCGTGCATTTGGTGACTTTTCAAACCCAACATATATTGTAGTTTAAATGGGACCTATTTGACCCCGAGCCTGGCGGATGGCAGGGAGCTCCTCTTCTCTTCTCTCCTTTTTATTTCCTTTTCTCTCCGACCTTTTTCTGCTCTTTTCTGCAGGACAGTGATGGGCCGGCAGCGGTCAGTGGTGTGGCGCTCCACGGGGGTTACACCTTTCCCTCTCTTCTCTGTGTGTGCATCTGCGAGTGTGGGCGTCTTGTGCATGCCTGTGTGTGCTGGGGCATGTTGCTACCTGGCCCCCTTTTATCTGCTCTAATGCAGGGGAAGCTCCACCCCCTCCCCCCGGTTCGGTGCCAAGGTGCTTCCACCCTCTGCGAGAGCCGGCGCTCCTCTCAGAGCTCGCAGCTGTAATTGGAGTCATGTGTCAGAGATGAGGGAATTCCTAACATTATTGGACTTTTCCGGCTCTCGGCAGTCGGTCATGAGGCTTTGTGCTGAGGCAGGTCCAGGATGGAGGCAGGGAGGGGGGGTTTGTAAACATTATTTTTAAAGGGTTTTACGTTACAGAGGGAAGCAACCCACTGCCCCCTGACTAATCCCATCTAATGTGGAAACACCCTTCAAAGTCCATTTTCATTAAATTCCCTCTTTTTCTACCTTTTAGTGGACAGCTGAGTCTTTTTTAGGGGGTATTTACATTTAACCCGTTTCTAAAATGGGAGGTTTGGGCCTCTGATGTGTGTACATGGGATGAAATTTCCCTTAATGCGGCTTATCCACGCTGGGGTGTGTAACGCTTTAATAAAACCTTTTTTTTCCCGCAGCGTTTGATGCGGGAAAAGGGGGGCAGAGAAACGGGATCCACAGCTCACCTTCCTCTGCATTGCCTCCTTCCCTTAACACAAGGTTTCCTGCACAAAGCCAACGCATGAACGGACTAGTGCACGTGCTGAATTTGCAACCGCATGGTTAAGCTGCTGTGAAGTGCACACACGAGACGACTTCTTCACCTTTTTAACAGAGATGTTATTGTGCAGAAGCCAGCCGTGACTCACCAGCCGGTGGACTGTTCTGACTGATAGTCCGACCAGTCCTCCCGCCTCTTTGTACCACTTTAGTTGTTTTCTTTGTACCTTCTTTGGGCAGCTTCCTGAAGACGTCAGTTAAAAAAAAAAAGAGAAGCGAGGTAGCTTCTGTTGTGAAACCGAGCTAAAAATTCCTGAGCAGAGCCCAGAGAGTGATCTTCAATTGAGTCATGCGGCTCATGCCGAGAAGCAAGACTTTCCAGTTCGATTTGTTCGACCGAAAAATGCGCCCCGCTGTTTTTCCCCACCGCCGTGTTTGAGAACTAAAACCAGAGAAATTAGGAGCAGCGCTTTAATGGCGTTGAGCCGGTTTGTACTTGTTGTGATTCTGCCAGCCAAGCGAGTTGGAAGATAAGCCCCGGCAGACCCGCCTTTCAGAGGAAACACACATGTGCTTTTCATTGGTAGTGTTTACCAACAGCATGACTAATGCTTCCTTTGTGTGTGTCGGTCTAAATATATATTGGAGAAATCTCTAACAGAAAACAGACCTTTAAGTAGTTTGTAAAAGTTTGTGTGGTGTGGCCTATTTTAGTCCACGTCACCTTTAAGTGGTGCAAAGTGCATGAAATCCAGGTTTTCCCTCTTTAACTGAAGGTGTTTTTAATAGATGATGGGCTCTCTCTGCTCTCAGACCCGGTCCACACCCACCAAAGGTACCACAGCGATTACAGCTCCTCCAGCGAAAGCCCCTCGCTGACCTCCTCCGACCCAGAGTACAGACAAGGTGAGACACGGCAGCCGGGCGGCTCCTTCCACAGGTACCCCACCCCCCCCATCGTGTCACGCTTACGTGCACACGGCCTTAAACACGAGCTGAAAACAGACAGAAAAGGGTGGGTTTCTCTGTCAAATCCAAACCCACCAACAGGTGAGACAAAGGGGGAGGTAGGCCTTATTTTTGTTGAATAAGCATAAAAAAGTTAACCAGCATTCTGCACACGGCAGGCTGGAGATAAGTAACCCTGTCAGGATTCTTGTGGGTGGGGGGGGGATCACAACTTTGATGTGGGTCTTTTCAGGTGTTTCTAAAATAACAGAAACTCACACAGAGGGCCATCATTCGCTGTATGGATTTAAATGTCTTACCTAAATAAGCTTCTTACTTATGTAAATATTATGTGTATTTCCTCACATGCTCATATTCTCCATCCTCCTTATGTCCGATAACTTTCTATTGATAACTGTTAGTATTAGTTCATATATTTACGGTAAGCTAATGCCAGTTTTTGTTTTTTCAGGACACGTTTTTGAGTCGGTCTCTAATAGATAATTGTTTTAAAGCATGGAATGGGAGCAAATGAATGCAAATGATGGCTGTTTTCTGCGCCGGCAGCTGTCTCTGTGCTGCTCGTTTCCAGATGATGTAATCCGGTAAACAAAGCTGACTGTAAAGAAGCCGGGCGCGCTGGTTTCGGGTCACTTTGGATGCTGACGAAACGGCGTCCGCTCTCCACTGTTGCGCAAGACTGTGGGAAAAGCTTGTCAACCAATTCCGGTGCTGCGCTTTGTCAAGAAATCAGATTTTTTCCTCACCCGGCTCCTCAGCCGGCACAGATACGAGAGCTGTAACAATAAATTTGGTCCAGACGACCAAGCGCTTCCAGTTAAATTCATGTTTTTTTTGTTTTTTTATCACTTCCAGGCCAAAAACGTTTGAAATCAAAATGATGCAACATGTTTTAACACTGTCCCCATGAGTTTACTTGATTTAAGGCCCATAAAAAAAAGCGTATTATTAGATGTGCTGTAAATCTTGACTAGTCAGACACGGTAAACACAGAAAACATTTTGGAGCCGTCGGACCCGTTGTGCCGGAGCCTTTCACAGCAGATTCAGCCCGCTGTGAGACTCCGACATGTTCGCACAGATTCATTCAGAGCAGCTCGCGGGCGTCTGGCTGTGTCTGCGCACGCAGCCGGAGAATAACAAACGAAACCTAACTTTCTCCTGTCTCCCGCAGCCAAGAAACCGGGTGAGGGGGCGAGGTTGGGCTCCCAGCTGGCCCTCTCAGCGGAGCTGGACGGCCAGTCTCTGACCAGTCACAGCACACACAGGCTCAGGTAACAAACGCCAGGGTCACTCTGCCCTGCGTCCCCCTGCTGCCCTTTTTACTCTGTGTGAAAAGTCCTTATTTGTTTGAGCTGCAGGAATTTGTGTGTCACTTTGAAAAGAAGGAGCCGGTTGTAAATCCACCATATTAACCCCTTTAAAGCCTGATCCAAGAATAAAACAAAACTGAAAATTCCTTTTTTTTTTGTTTGAATTCCTTATTTGGCCTTTTAACAAAATATGTAAAAATAAAAAATAAATAAAAAATTTCAATATTAATCATTTATTACTATGCGATAAGTCAAGATTATTTTCTGTGTAGTCTTCTGCCCCCTGTTATCAGGTGTCTCTGATTTTTACCATTAAATTATGCAAAAGGTGTCAGACGCAAAACATTTCAGAAACTGTATGTATCAAATATGATACATTTGGCATTACAGGGTTAAAAAAAAAAAACCCTGATTAGCACAGCGTCGTGTGGGTGTGACCTGATCCATCAGCAATAAGCCCCCTCTAACTTAACATTTCATCCTTTAAAACGGCCTCATTTCACTTGAAACCTCAACGGTTTTCAGTGTTTAACCGAAATGACATCCACTGTAATTTCCACGTCAGCCTCCTTTCACAGGAACATATTCCAGCTGGTGTGGGATGAGTTGTGTCACCAAGTAACCAAATACAAAGTGTTTGGACTTTAGGAGGAAGCAACCCTGCTCTGTCACATGCAAATTATACAAAAAAGCTCCCATCAGCTGGCAGGTTGAACCAGGAACCTTTTTGTAATGAGTCATATTACTGTGTAATCAGTGTAAACTTATGAAATCTTGACGTTTTCTGACATATTTTAAAGTCGGCAAAGTTGAGTTTTTTTCTCATTTCCATTTATTTCCCTCATTTTGAATCCTTTTAAACGTAAAGTTCCTAAATCAAATGCACTGTTTACGTGCACCAGCTGTCGGCCGACATATTTAACCCTTTAAAGCCTGATCCAAGAATAAAACAAAACAGAAAATTACTTTTTTTTTGGTTTGAATTCCTCACTTGGCCTTTTAACAAAATATGTAAAAAGAAAAAACAGAAATACATTTTTGATATTTATGACTTATTACTATGCGATTGGTCAAGATGATTTTTTGTGTAGTCTCCTGCCCCCTGTTATCAGGTATATCTAATTGTATACAATAGGATTTTGAGCAAAGTTTTTACCATTAAATTAAGCAAAAGGTGTCGGACGCAAAACATTTCAGAAACCTTATGTATCAAATATGATACATTTGGCATTATAGGGTTAAAGTCAGCAAAGTGGAGTTTTTTCTCATTTTCCTTAATTTCCCTAATTTTGAATCCTTTTAAACGTAAAGTTTCTAAATTGAATGCACTGTTTACGTGCACCAGCTGTTGGCAGACATATTTAAATCTGATGTAATAATTGGTGTGTGTCGCCTGCCAACACAAACAGAGGCGTCTCTGTCTTGAATAAATGCTCCGGTTGGAGTCTGGGCTCTCCACCTGGCATCAGATTGCCCCCTGAACCGTGGTGTCTCCCTTTAGGCAGCAGGAGGGCGCGGCCGACGAGGGTCTGGCGGGGGCCGAGCTGCTCCTGCAGCGGCAGGAGGAGGAGGTGCAGCGGCTGCAGGCCCACCTGGCCAACCGGCTGTCCCGGGCCAACCTCTACCCGCTGGACGAGCCCCTGCTGCCGCCGCACGCCTCCCTGCTGGACCTCCAGGACCCCCTCTACACCGCCACCGCGCCGCTCCGCAAAAGCAAGGTGGGTCCATCACAGACTTGATGCTCCCCGTTTCACAGGCCAGCTCCGGTAGAGGCTGAGGAAACTCCCTAAAAAGCTGGTTTTGGCTGCATTTGCTGATGATGCGCCGACATTTTTCGGCTTGGCAGCAGACTTGTTGATGCGGTGCGAGAGTGCAAAGCGCTGACTGTGTCTGGAGGCCTCCCAGCTCCTCTGCGGTGGTTAAAAATGTGTCTGATGAGGGAGTTTTTAGGATGGGGGTCCTGCTTATCCGAACTCCTATCGCAAACAGAGTAAAAGGGGTTACCACGAGTGGGAAACGCAGGAAGAATTCAACTCGGCTGTTTGAGATGATTCCAGTTCTGATGGATTTATGGTGTTTGTGGGCGTGTGTGTGTGTGGGGGGGGGGGGGATTTGTGCTCCTCTCTGTGGTGTCTTTAATAGATGTGATTTATGGATGTGGGGGTAACCATTTGGACACTTTCAGAATGTTCTTCTCTTTATTTCTGCCATTTGAAATTATCCCAATTTAAAATGAATGAACCTCCCTTCGCCAGAACTTCCACGGACCCGAGTTTGTGAAGCTGGCCGGGGAGCCCTGCGTCGCCCTGTCCGTGCCCTCTTCAATAATGGTGAGGCGAGGCGTGCCGTACGCCGCCCTGGTTCCAAAACTTCCCCTTTTTTCTAAACGGAGCTTCTGCTCTGAACGGCAGAAACGCGGGAAGGCCGACGAGAGGAAGGTGGGGGTGGTGCTGCTGAACGGCCAGAGGCTGGAGCTGACCTGCGACCTCAAAGCTGTGTGCAAAGACGTCCTGGACATGGTGGTGGCCCACGTGGGGCTGGTGGAGCACCACCTCTTCAGCCTGGCGTGCCTCAGAGGTAAAGTCTCTCACCAGTGAGCTCATTTCCAGTGTGTGGACACAGCAGGGACGAGTCCACTCAGACCTAAAAACCCCCAGTTTACTCGGCCGTCATTGTTTTTTTTAAGCTTACTGTCCTGACTGACTCTTTTCTCTCCACCCCCCCTCCTGTTTTAAAACCTGAGCAGAAAACGAGTTCTTCTTCATCGAACCTGATGCCAAACTCATCAAAGTGGCCCCCGACGGGTGGAAGGATGATCCGAAAAAGAGACGGTCCGATGTGCCTTTCAACCTTTTCCTGCGCATCAAATTCTTCCTGGACGACGTCAACCTCATACAGTGAGTTCAGGCTCAGTTAAAAAACGGTTCTGTTGCAGCCAGGTGTGCGAGCATCCATCTCTCTCCGTTTACAGGCACGCTATGACCAAGCACCAGTACTACCTGCAGCTGAGGAAGGACATCCTGGAGGAACGGGTGCGCTGCAACACAGAAAACGCCATGCTGCTGGCCTCCCTGGCTCTGCAGGCCGAGTTTGGCGACTACCAACCGGAGGTACCAGCCTCATTTGTTCTGCTGCCCTAAAACTGCCATTATTAAAAAATAAACACCCGTTTTCTACTTTCCATGTAAAAAAAACTAAACAAAAAACAGTTAAGAAATTAATGAAACGGGTGGTTGATTTTGAAACCATCTCTGTGCTGCAGCTCCATGGGAAGACCTATTTCAGGCTGGAGCACTACCTGCCGGCGTCCATCTTGGATAAGGTGGACCAGACCACTCTTAGGGAAGAGCTGCCCAAACTTCACAACAACTACTACGGATCGTCGGATTCAGAGGCCGAGTTTGAGTTCCTCAAGGTTAGAAAGCGGGAGCATTCAGATCTGAGCTCTCATTTGTCAGCTCTGGCCACATTTTGTGTTTGTGTTGCTGTAATTTGTCCTTAAAATAGGAGCTTTCCTACTGTGCTGTCTTTTCTTATCTATGATTATATTTCTAACAGTTTTAAGACAGAAAAAAGTACTTTTTAGTGGGTTTTCTGAAATCTAAGGACTCCTCTTGTTTGTTTCAAAGGTGAGCCAGAGGTTGACTGAGTATGGGGTCCATTTCCATCGGGTGCTCCCAGAGAAGAGATCTCAGACGGGCATCATGCTGGGTGTCTACTCCAAGGGGGTGCTCATTTTTGAAGTCCTGAACGGAAATCGCGCGCCGGTGCTGAGGTTCCCCTGGAGGGAGACCAAGAAGATTTCCTTTACAGTACGCGGCCGCCTCTTTATTTTCGGGGATAATGTGAAGTGGAGTTTTGTTTAGCTTTCCCACTGTGGCTCAGATTGTCCTCACCCGTCCTCATGCTTCCTCCTTCTTAAGAAAAAGAAGATTTGCCTTCAGAACACATCGGACGGGATTAAGCACCTTTTTCAGACGGACAGCAGCAGGACCTGTCAGTATCTCCTGCAGCTGTGCTCCGACCAGCACAAGTTCCACCTGCAGATGAAGGCCCGCCAGAACAACCAGGAGCTGCAGGATCTAGGTACCTGAGACCAGCAGCCGTTCACAACACATGCACCAGTCTGCTTCAACATCTGGTTTTGTTTTTCACAATAGTTTTTAGAAGAATGCCTCCTGGTTTAGTTAATATTATGTTTCTGTTTCTACATTTAAACGCTTTTATCCAAAGCGACTCACAAAGTAGACACAATGTTACAGCTATCCACAGTCAGAGTCAGTGGTGACAGAAAAGAGATAGAGGGAAGTACAGAAAGGGTAACATAGAGGGTATAGAGATATGAGGAAGAGTTAGGATAGGAGATGCTTTGTGAAGAGGTGGGTCCTTAACCCTGTGATGCCAAATGTATCATATTTGATACGTACGGTTTCTGAAATATTTTGCGTCTGACACCTTTTGCATAATTTAAAGGTAAAAACTTTGCTCAAAATCATATTGTACACAATCAGATATATCTGGTAACAGGGGGCAGAAGACTACACAAAAAATCATCTTGACTTATTGCATAGTAATAAATTATTAATATAAAAAATGTATTTCTGTTTTTTCTTTTTACATATTTTGTTAAACGACCAAATAAGGAATTCAAACCAAAAAAAAGTAATTTTCTGTTTTGTTTTATTCTTGGATCAGGCTTTAAAGGGCTAAGTTTCACCCCCACAAATACCATAAATCCATCAGAACTGGAATCATCTCAAACAACTTCGACTTCTTCCTTTATTAGCTACACTTATCGTATTTTTGGTGTACTGGGACTCTTTCTTTATAATTAAACATGTTTTGATTTTAACTCTGCTCTTCCCGCCCAGCAGAGAACTGCCCCCTGAGCAGCCTGCAGTATTCCCTGGACCCTCGGAGCGCCGACGCCACGGGCAGGTCGGTGAGCTCGGGCAGCCTGGCCCCAACCCTGTCCACGCGCTCCAACCCGGACCACCTGAAGCGGATCTCCTACTCGGAGCTGGCCCTCAACAAGGCTCAGTCGGGCTCCGTCCTCGTCCAGGACGACTTCCGCTTCCCCGGCTTCCACCCGGCGGGGCCCTCCATCCTCTCCAACCCCCGGGTCATGAGCCGCTCCCACCACAACCTGGCGCAGATGCCGGAGTCCCCCGGGCGCCCGGCGGCGGGGGACCCGTATCGGGGCCCGTCGCACATCCGGATGGCCCAGCCGCCGTCCAGCCCGGCCTTAGCCGCCCGCCTCCACCAGCACCAGCGGGCCAGCTCCGACACGGACTCCATCACACAGCCGCACGAGAACAGGCAAGTGGGCCACATTATCCGAACGGATGTGTTTTACACGAGAGCAGAAGGACCAGCTCAAGCCCTCCTTACATGTTTTACCCATAGCAAATTGATTTAGTGTCTTTACACCAGGGGTCTCAAACTCCAGTCCTCGAAGGCCGCTGTCCTGCAGGTTTTAGAGGTTTCCCTGTTTCAACACACCTGATTCACATCACAGAGCCATTAGCAAAGCTCAGCAATGTCCAGAGGAGATCCAATTTAATCAGAATCAAGCGTGCAGAAGCAGGAAAAAATCTAGAACCTGCAGGACTGCGGCCCTCGAGGACTGGAGTTTGAGACTCCTGCTTTACACCTTTATGGTCAGAGTCTCATGTAAGGTTACCATAGCTACACCTCCGTCTGCTAATTGCCCCTCTGGGGGTCTCTGTCTCTGCCCTGGTGTGTTTTTCAAAAGTGGAGCTGTGACTCGTTACTATTTTAAGTAGACCGTGTTGTACCTGTCGCTCTTTCTGAACACAATGTGGCTAAAAATCCAGTTTTAGGGGCTTTTTTTTCGAATGTTTTTGCTCTGAGTTGCCCTCTAAGGCCCCTGTTTTCTTACTCAGGTCCCAGGCGGCAGAGCCCCACAGCAGCCCGGCCTGGCGCCTCAGCAAATCCAAGAAGGACTCTGACTCCTCTTCCACTGAGGACGCGGGCCAAGCGTATGTAGTAGGTGAGGAAGGTCGGGACGAGCAGTCCCACATTGAAATAAAAAAACACAGATGTGACTATAATTCAAAGTAGTGAGCAGCATGTTGGACTTCATGCCAGAGAACACTTCCTTCCTTTAAGTGCTGTTGACCCAAAAAAGGAGCCTTTGAATAATAAAAATGAGAGCCGTGTGTTTTGTTCCTCGGAGATGAGGAATTGCAGCAGTGAACTGATGTTGGATATGCTTTTAAGAGAGGAAATAAGCAGGATGAACAGCTCGGTTTTCCATTTAACGCTAAGTTTTTAGTGTCTTTACTGGTAACACTAAATGCTAATCCTAAAGTAACCAAAACAAGGGCAGATATATACCGAAAACCAGCTGATGACTCATGGTCTGTTCTCAGGTGTCAGCATGCACAGTTCCTCTGGACCCCCTTCAACCCCAGCCTCTGTTAACGGTACGTATCTGTCCTCAGACAAATGTTCTCATCAATTATTATCAGTGCCATTTACAGAGTTACAAACCGGAAAAAAGGCCTGATCACATAACTGAGCCGCCCTCCATGGTGCACAGAACCATTTTGCTTTCTTCCAAGTTTAGCCACTCACTTTCAGACTTTATCTTCCCCCTCCCCCACAGCTCTGTGCCGCCCAGTTGCGACACATTATTGATAAAACTTGTGTTTGTGATTGAGCAGATTCTCTGAGAAAAAAGCTGAAAGAGCTGCCATCCCCAGAGAGAGAAATCACAACGGTAAAGCTCAAGAAGGATGCGAAATACGGACTGGGTAAGCCCCTCCAGTGGATTTCCAAAGCTCAAGAATTGACCTGGCTTCTGTCACATGTGGAAAAAGACGGATATAAAAGATCATCGAACTTCTCTTTTGTGTGTTTTTGTGCGCTTAAGGGTTTCAGGTCACAGGAGGGGAGAACCCCGGCCGGTCGGAGCTCAACACCATCATCAGCTCCATCACTCCCGGGGGTCCCGCTGATGTCAACGGCTGTCTCAGACCCGGTAGGCCCACATCTTGATGATTCTGGTGCTTCCATTGCCCGCTTTGCCGACTGCTAACGCTTTGCTGTGACGGACGGCGGCCCTGTTGGTTCAGGGGACCGGCTGATCTCTGTGAACAGCTTAAACCTGGAGGGATTCTCTCACGCCACCACGGTCGACATCCTGCAGAACGCTCCCGACGACGTCACTCTGGTTGTGTCACAGCCCAAAGAAAGACTTTACAAAGGTAACGCTCGGGATTTTGCAGCTCTTTTTGAAATGGAGGTGAAACAATAGCCTGATGCTAATTCGTTTTTTTTCTTCATTCGGGCAGAATCTTCCTCAGAATACGCCCCAAACCAGCCCCCCTCTTCATTTAAGTCCCCTAGCGCAGCTCAAGGGCTAGAACGAGACTTTGACACTTCTTCGGAGGACCGGCCAGTCACAGGAAGCCCCAGCCCGCCCCTCCTCAGTGCCGGCACGTCGTCGGCCTCCTCCCCGCGCCAAAAGCACACCAGCGTCAGCTCTCAGGACTCCAGAGTGAGCGGCGGGGCTAAAATCAGCCAGCCGCCTCCTAACGGGGTCCAGCAGTGCTTGGAAAGAGCCACAGCGGCCTCCACAGCCATCGCCCAGCACCAGAGTCCAGAGCCAAAGCCGGGTCTGGATCCCACCCCGCCGGCCCTGCCGCCCAAAACCAGAAAGGCTAAAGTTTCCGAGGTTCCCAAAGTTTCGGAGCAGTCTGACTGGGGCGATTCAGACATGGACGAGGACACTTACTCCAGCGGTCAGGACAAATTGAAAGTCAAAAAGGTGGGAATCCCTATCACGTTTTAGGCGTGACATACACGCCTAAATCAGAAGTCTCGGGAACGAAAATCCACAGAAATTGTGTTTTGTATTGTTGAGCGGCAAATCAAAGCAGCTCCGGTTAGCAGAGCAGCTCTTGACCGATTCCTGGAACAAGCATTACGCCAAGCGGTGGGATGCTTGGCCCCCACTAACCGCCCGTTTCCATGACGCTGCATGACATCCCCGGCCCGGCCTCGTCTGTCTGCATGTGCCCGCTCGCGCTAATTCTCCTTAATTTCCTGTTCTCTGTTCACAGGAATGCATCAAGGAAAATTTAAATGGTAATGCCCCAGTGGTCAATAGTCTCCATCCAGGAGAGCTATTTGACATTGAGCTGTCCAAATTAGACAGCGGCCTGGGCATAAGTGTCACGGTACTGTTCGGCAAGGTTTTCACCCTCTCTTTGTTTTGCCCCCCCCTTTCCCGTTCATCTCTGTGTTGTGTTGTCTTTACATGCTGTTTGGTGCTCTTTCTTAACGACCTATGTTGGAAGAGACTGTGGTAAAATAACTCTTTTTGCATGTTTTATTTTTCTTTTGCATTAAGATTAATGATAAAAAAAGCCGCACAGTGTCTGTGGAGCTTTGTAGAGTACAGTAATGATCAAAAACCCTTCAAAATTGTCTGGTTTGTGGGTTTTTCTCCTGACTTCCTAAAGGTTGGCTGCTGATAAGTGATTGACCAAAGTGCCAATACACAAATGACCCTTTCTAGCAACATTGATTGGTGCTGATTGATTTTATTTCTGGAGCACAATATCATTAATGATCAATCACTTAACTGTGTGTCTTTAATGTGTTGAATTCATAGAACATTTTGGTTTGAATAAGTGAGTAGGAGATAGTTTAAGATCAAATAAGTAACCTCACTGTTCTAGTTTAATTCAAACCCACCAGAAACGTCCCACTGGAGGATTTTCCATTCACAATGAGATGATTGTTAAATGATGAACTCTCTATTCGATTATTAAGAGTTTAAACAAGAAGATAAATAATGGTTTGTACAAAGTTTTATCCAACATTTCAAATTCTATTTCTAAGCTTAAATTAAATTAACTGGTCCATATTCTTTCTGGAAATACAGAAAACTAAACTTTTATCATTTAGCCGTTCATTTTGGAATGGAAAAACCTCCAGGTCATCCATCACTTCCCACAGAAATTAAGCATCTTTTTCTTTGGGTTCAGACTCAGAGCTATGCTTTCTTCTCAGGGAGGGGTCAACACGACTGTCCGACACGGAGGCATCTACGTCAAAGGCCTGATCCCCAAAGGGGCGGCCGAGATGGACGGAAGGATCCAGAAAGGTCCGGGATCCAAACGGAAGACGAGAACGGACCGATCGGTAAAATGTGGACGTTATTCCTTACGTCTCTTCTGTGTCCAGGAGACCGGGTGGTGGCGGTGAACGGGAAGAGTCTGGAGGGGGCGACCCATCAGCAGGCGGTGGACGCCCTCAAGAACACGGGGCAGGTGAGGGCCGGAGGATCGGCGTCGACCCCCAGGGACGGATTAAGGGTAGTCTGGGCCCCGGGGCAAAGAATTCGCCCAGGGCCCCCCCCCAAAAAAAACAAAAACAAAATTTTACAAACCATGCTACTGCGAATAAATTGAAGCGGTTATGACACTACATGTGGATCGAGCTAAAGTCCACCTCTTTTAAGCATACTAGCTGGGATCCATGTGGGGCCCGCTAAAAGCACCCTTACCTGGGGCATGTGGTAAGTCAGAGGCCCCTGGTAGGGGCCCTCGAAATCAGTCAGAGGCCTCTGGCAGGGGCAATACATTGTTATGAAATTGTTATGAAATGTTACCTGAACAAACACACTTCTGTACTTTGATGATCTCTCTGGTTTATTCTCAGGCTTCCAATAAAGGAATCCGGCTAACATTGTTTTAAATTAACAGCTCTAGCTTCTGGTTATGAAATAACAATGTATTGTATCGTATATGTTGAAACAGTTTTGGTCTCGGGCCCCGCTGGCCCGGTCTGTAATCCAGTCTTGCCGATCCCCCCCTGAGTCCTGTCCTCTTGTGCCTCAGACGGTGCGCCTGCTGCTGGAGAAAGGCCACCCGCCCGCGGACGGCGCCCGCGCCCCCCTCACGCCGGACCCCACCTCACAGCGCGCCGCCAGGGACCCGGAGCGGCCCCCGGAGTTCAGCTTCATCACAAACGGTGAGGAGACCCCCGGGGCCTCCACGCGTTATCCACACAGATCGCTGTGGTCAGCAGCTTTTCCACACTGAGAGCCTCTGTTCTCACTCTGAGCAGAGTAATCTTCTGTTAGTAATCTCCTTTACAAGAAAGAGAGCGCTGGTTTCTTGTGCTTTCTCAGAACTCAGCTAGCTCTAATAAGTGGTATTTGATGCCTACTTAGAATTATTCCAGGAGGGTCTGTGATTAGATAAAAACAGCAGAATCGGTCAGGAGGGTCCGACTGAACTCGGGTCTCTTTAAAAGACTGAAGATTGTTGTTTGCGTTTTGGGAATTATTTTAGGATTATTCCATTAAGAAGGTCATGCGTTATTGCCCCAAACGCCCTTTCTTGTCTTTTTATAATTCCACACCATGTTAGCGTTCAACAGTTGTTTTTTCTGGCTGTCATCTGTGGATTTATTTCATCTTAAGTCTAACGCAGAACTGTCAGCACTGATCTCAGCTCCCACCCTGAGGCTGTGTGGATGTTTTTTCTTCTGGTTTCCACGCTTTGTGCTTTTGAATTTCACGCCCTTCTTCTTTAGCTCCGTTTTGCGAGCCGTTGGAGACAGCGATTGTTGTTCAATGCCGCGGCTAACCGGACCACCAGGCCTTTAAACGGGCCTGGAAGGTGTGAACAAAAGAGGAGGGAAACATTTGAAAATTGTCGCTTAATCCTAAAGGCTTGGAGCCTGGAGCTGTGCAACTTGGCTGAGATTTAACAGCCGAAAGAGGGGAGGGGCTGTAAAGATTTAGGAGGCTCTGCTGAGGAGTGAGAGGACAGGGATTTTTCTGGGGCTAGCAGCCTGGGTAATAAGCCTGCAGGGGGCTCTCAGGAGGCGGCGTCTTTATCACAACCTGGCCCGTGTCCCAACAGATAACGTGTTCGAGGTGTGCCTGCTGAAGAACACGTCGGGGCTGGGCTTCAGCTTCAGCCGCGAGGAGCACGTCCCCGACGAGCCCCACGGCTCCAGCATGGTGAGGGTCAAAAAGCTGTTCCCGGGCCAGCCGGCAGCGGAGAGCGGCCGGATCAGCGTGGGCGACGTCATCCTACGGGTCAACCAGACCCGCCTCAAAGGACTCTCGCAACATGTAAAAGCAATTTGTGTCCGTTTCGCGCCCATTCAGCCACAAGTGCAGCTTATCACAGATTGGCTCATTCTGTATTGTGTTCTGGTGCCCAAAGGAGGTGATATCAGCCCTGAGAGGGACGGGGCAGGAGGTGACGCTGCTCCTCTGCAGACCTGAGCAGGGCGTCCTTCCAGAGATGGACACGTCGGCTTTGGTCAGTCATTAGCTGAGATTCTCCTGTTTTTGTCACTGCTTTCGGTACTCTGTCTGGAATAGGGTTGTCAAAAGTATCGATACTCAAAAAAGTATCGATGCTAAAACGTTGTATCCGGATACGATACTCATTTTCAAAAGTATCGATACCAGATTTATTTATGTATTTATTTACGTTGTTTATGATTATTAAGAAGACGTTAGCCTTGTACTGCTAGCTGTGGCGAATGGCTAATGATAACATGCTACCATTAGTCGAGTACATATCCAACTCCGCCCACATCCAAGTCGGCCATTTTGATTAGGTCACCAATAGGAAGATCCCAGGGAAGAAAATTGTAATTGCCTCATGGCAATATAGAGATTAATTTAAAAATAGTGAAATTAATCTTCCAAACACTTAATTAAACTCTATCCATAATATGCTGTTAAAATAGTGGATGTTAAATAGGTTTGTACAATAATTCCAAACAAGTTTAACCAAAAAATATTTATTTCTCACAATTATGAATGGTGGAGGGTCAGGGTTAGGGTCAGGGTCAGGGTCAGGGTCAGGGTCAGGGTCAGGGTCAGGGTTAGGGTTAGGGTTAGGGTTAAGGTCATTAATGTGGGCCATCAGTAACAGGTCAGTTTGAAACCAAAGACACTAACCTGTCAAAATTCAGTAAAATTTTGGGGTTTTTGTTTTTATCCTTGTGGTATCGAAAATGGTATCGAGTATCGAGTATTTTCCTGAGTATCGGTATCGAGTTGAAAATTTTAGTCTCGTGACAACCCTAGTCTGGAAGCCTGTCTTTGACTCGGTTCCCCTCCTCCAGACGCCCATGCCGTCCCCGCGAAAGGAGCCGAGCGTCAGCCCGGGCAGAACGGCGTCCCCCCCCCGGCACGCCGGGCAGCCAGGGGCCGGGCCCCGTGGAGGAGGCCCTGGAGAGGCTGCAGCTGAAGAGCCCCGGCCGCCACAACAGCTACAGCGACAGCACGGACGGGGACGAGGAGGTGGAGGAGGCCTTCAGCCCCGGCACGCCGGCCTGGGAGCGCAGCCTCTACCAGACGCCCGCCGGCGAGCCGGACAACACCTTCCACTCGGCCTTCTACTCCCCGAACCTGTCCATGACCAGGTCAAACCTGAGCAGCAGGTACGGGGCGCCGCCTCGCCTCCGTCTGTCGGTGCTCGCCTTCACTTTTTTTTTATTTTTATACTTATTTTTTATTGAACATTTCTGAACACATACAGTGGAGAGGCATCAATACATTCAACTTCATACACAATGTTGGAGAAACGTGTCAATATTTAGCTGGGTACCAGAGTGGCATTCTCCTTGCATCTGTATTCGCTCCATTTTTCCCATTTAACATCACACTTGTCCTCCTGCAGTCTTAGTCTAGGTGTGATTTTCTCCATTACGAAAATCTCTTCCACAATGCTCAGCCACTGCTCCACTGCAGGAGGGTCATGTCTATACCATCATTTTCCGCCTGCACTTTTAACGGGATTTCTGTGGGCAGATCACCTGACGTTCAGTCGACCACGCACCCGGGGAACCCCCCCGCCGGCGCCCCCAGCCCAGATCCCCTCCCTCCCCCGATGCCCCTGCCCCTAAACTTCAGCGTGCCCGGCAACAGGGACGACATGGAGGAGTTCGTCCCAGTAAGAAAGACTAGAACCAGTGAGGTGTGAAACCTGAATGTGTTTAGATAACTCTCCTGACTCGGATGGTTCTTTGCGGTCAGGAAGTGGAGCTAAAAGTCTCTCTGATGAAGTCAGAAAAGGGCAGCCTTGGATTCACGCTCACCAAAGGCAACGACCACGGCTGCTACATCCACGACATCGTCCAGGATCCAGCCAAAGGGGACGGACGGCTCAGGCC